CTATCTATCTATCTATCTATCTATCTATCTCTATCTATCTATCTATCTATCTATCTATCTATCATCTATCTATCTATCTGTATCTGTATCTGTATCTGTATCTATCTATCTATCTATCTATCTATCTATCTATCTATCTATCTATATATATATATATTATTTGTGCTGATAAATAAATAAAAGTAGACTAGTATAGATCTATTTCAAGCTATTTAGCTCTCATCAGCTAGCCATACCCTTACTGTGATTCGAACCTGTGCTGTATTGCTTCTTAGGCAAACGTCTTAGCCATTAAGCATTTCTCAAGAGAGGTGAGTTGAGACATCTCAGCCTAAAACTGACCCAGATATTCACAACATTTGCATAAGGTTATTTATATGTGAAAAGCCAAACTAAGAAATCATTTAAATTTAAAGAGAAATTAAAAGACATTTATGAGCTGAATAGAAAAATGATACATTTCTGTATTGTTAATTCCCTCCTAAAATTGCCAGTGGTTGGATGCAAATATAGTTGAATTAAAGCCAGTATGCTTCAGTCAACTCCATGGTTATTTGTTTTAACCACTGGAGGAAAATATAATCTAAGCCATCTGTGCCACTTACTCATTTATACATATTGGCTATGTAGGGTGCCATTTACAACTAATGCATTCAGGCTACACTCTTCTATTCATTTACCTCTGAAAATTCTGTTGGCTCTGCTTCTGAGTAGAAAGAAATATGCTTGAGCTCATAATTATAGTATCATTGATGCATGACTGGACAGCGTTAACAAAGTAAAGAATTTGTTCCTACTTTTAAACATTAAGTTCAGAGCCATCCAATTGAAAAGAATAAAGCAGGAAAACCAAGTACTTGATTGGTAGACACACAAAATGTTATACTGCTGTGAGAATACTGGGAAGTTGAATCATTCCAGAAGATGAAATAGGTACTTCCCTATTGTCATATGAACATTACATGAATATATCCATGAAGTCAACAGGAGTCAAACTAAATTCAAAGGATATTTAAATGTTTTAAATTACATTAGTACAGGGGCTCATTAATGCAGATGGATTTTTAAAAACAAAATGTGCAAGTTCACGGAGGACAGTCCATAAATAATGATAAATTATGACATCCAAAAGTGATCCAACATATCAAATAGTTGGGATAAGTAATAATTGCTGGCTAGTTTCAAATTATATGAATTGTTTGAGACTGCCCACTCTTGTATCAGATGTTGTAGACTGGATGGATATTTGATTTGCCCTTGAAGGTTATTCTTACATTTAAAAAATAACACAGCAAATATACTTTTTAAGATATAACAATGTCATAATTACTTGTGTGGTGTAAAAATATGTTGACACGTAGTTAATTGTTTTCAGATTTCTTGTCTGTTATATAGCTTTGATTCAGAAAAAAAGCTAGTCTTCTATTTTAAGTTTCTTCTGTCTGATGCTTTCAAGAGGTGTTGGGTTAAAACTCCTATAAATCTTATGCTGGGAACTGTAATCTAACACATCTGGAAGGCAGCAGACTTTAAAAGGGTGCTTTACTAAAAACAGTGCCTGCCAGCCAGCCCCAAAAAAGTTGAAAAATACAGCTGAATTAGCCAATATGGAGCTCTTGCCTGATTCGTAAGTTTCACACTAGTGGTTTCAAAATCTAGACAGTAAATAAAATACTTTACAAATGTTCAATCATAATTTTGATACATTGTGTTGCTTTCCACGGACAAACAAAGCATTGAAGCAGGACTCATATGGCCAGGAGACCCTGAATCACTGATATACATAATTGGAACAGAGGTGCCATCAAGGCTGAGCCAATGGCACAGAGCCTGTAAGGGGATGAATTGTTAAGATCCAAAATTCTGAATGTATTGAATAATATCGTTCATGGAAAAAGTGCTTTTTCTGTGTGTCTTACCTTGGTGGGACCCAGGTTCCCCGATAGCGTGATTGGTGAGACTTACAAAAAAAAAAAGCTGAGAAACACTGGGGTGGGGGGAGTACATGCACAGAAACAAAAATATGCTTGTGGGTCTCCTAGCAGTGGGGTGTTTGCTAATTGGCCCAGCCTTAGGAACACAAAGTGGCAGAAATTGGACTGCAATTGTTTGGCTTTTTAAGTCAGACATGTGTGGCCCAAACCCTTCAGATGTCACCAGAACCAGGTTGCTGAAATATCCTTAGGGGGCAGTCAAGAGTAATAGTATTCTGTTTCTTCCAGATTTTTTGCAACCCAGCTATGATGTTCTTGTTCACTCTTGCTTTAATAATATATGTTCTAATATATGGATGATAATGCACATTTTATACCTTGTTCATTATAGCTGAGCTGCAAAGGTGTACTGTAGTTATGCACCCTGAAGAGCTCTAATGAACAGAATGATGCCATTTTGGTCCCTAATTGAAGAGATTCCAATTTGTGGGTGGCCAATGCAATATGCCCATCTGAAAGAGCCTGGCTCTAGAAATTACACTGACTCAGAATTTCAGTAATATTTCCAGCAAGTCTCAGTGAGGCCAAAATGGACCTACAAAGAAAATATTACTGAAATGTCGTAGTTGCAGTTCAAATTAAGCAAACCACATTTTGTATCATAATGAGGGTACGAATTTAGTCTAGGTTTATAGCTGGATTCATGCATTGGAATATGTAATATTTGTTTAGATTTGATTACCTTGACATGTGAATCCAGCCACAGCACAAGATTTAGTGTTAGCTTGTCTAAATGAGCTTGCTATGCCTTGTTCAGTATAAAAACTGTACTACTATGACTTATAGATTGGCTCTTGATTTTGGATTCAACTAAGCTAAAGAATTTAGAAGGTATGAAGCACAATCAGCGTTTCTCAACGTTTGCAAAATGTAAAATGTAGATCTGATTACTCAGAAAGCTGTGCCTCAAATGGCACTAAATGGTCACATATCAGAGGACAATATGGGGAATCAGTCTAATATCAGTATCTGCAGAGGTGAGGATCTCTAATCCATGCTATCAATTGGGGAGGGTAATATTAACAAAGGTATTCTGAATTCAGTTGCATCACGAGCCTGACTTAAGTTGAATATGTGGAAGACATTAAAGAATTCCAACTGAGAGACACATCTTCTTAATTGATATAGTGATAGAAAACACATCTGGCACTATTGCAATACAATGGAGATCTAATGTAATTGGCTACATTCAGGAATGTGTTTAACTTGATTACTGAGCTAACCTATTTCTTGGTCGACATAGGCCAATGAATCATAATGCCAAAATCAGAAAGGTTGGATTTTGAGGCTAAAGAAAAAGTAACTACATTCCATATGTTATATAAATACAACCATAGAGTAGAATGGGAGGTATTGGTGATCACAGGGTCTACACACTGATTGTTGTAACATTTCTTTGAACAGAGAGGATCAACATGCAGGCAACACAGGAGTTCACTTTATTTAAACGTCAAAAGGTGTTAAGACAGACCAGTATTCCCAGAAAAAAACGGGCTGCACAACTCAGCACAGCAGCTCAGCAGAGACTTGGTAAAACGTACCATACTTTGCTTGGACATTTTATTTTTATTTTGCTTTAAAAGCTTCTCTTTTGGGGACTTTTACCCCCTTTCTTTTACCGCTAGTATAAACAGTCTGTGTTGGAAACAGTCCAGATGGCAGTAGCTTCCTTGTGATTGTTTCTGCAGTTATGTACAACATCTGGAATTTTTTTTATTTCATTTTGTTTACATCAGTTATAAAAGAAATTGCATGTTTACAAAGAACAGTTTTCAGAAAAGAAAGAGAACATATCAAATAATAAACAAAAAGCAAGAAAGAGAAAGAAGCAAGAGATAAGATAGCATAGAAACTGGGACCATAAATCTTCTGAGAAATTTAAAAAGTGGTATAAAACCCCCTAGAAGGAATACCATGCAGTTAAGAAACACTAACTCTGCCAATACACACCTCTCCTAAACAGGATTTTTTTCACTTTTTTAATTTTTAAAAAAATGCATTTTAATTAGAAAAAAAAGCTAAAATTGTTAAGAGTTGAGCCTCCAGTCAGCAGTAGCTAGTAAGCCAAGGAGACCCTAAGCTTTGGTGCTATCCCAGCTTCACCTCAAGCCAAGAGCTTCATGGATTTGGCTAGAGCAGAAGAGTGACACGTCTTTGGCAGGGAAAGGTGCTACGTTTTCTGATGGAGTGATGAATTAGTGCAATTATCATTATTCCAACAGCTTCCACCTAGCATTCTCTGGGACTGAGCCCCCAACTATTTAGCACCAATGCTCCTAAGTAGGAGCCACTAGGAACCATCCAGCTTTGCCCTTTGAAGTTTCATGATCAAATGGATGAAATTCCCAGATCCCCTTGTTTAAATTTATTTGCAATAAATGGAAATGAAGTTAGGATAGCATTCAGTCTGGCCTCTCTTTCCTTCCTTTAACACTGCATTTGAATTAGTATACAGACATGTAGCTCCACTCTTTGTCCTGGGTGTAGATCCCAATGTTTGTCAACCAGTGATCTCTCTGGGTGGTGCTGGGTCTCTTCTGCTCAGGCTAAATAAGCTAAAACCAAACTGCAGAGAAGAAATTAAGCACATTTTTGCTGTATTGCTAAACACAGATACCTTGCTGTACTGCTCTACACAAGTGCTATTCAGTAGCTTAGTAAGATCATTTACTTGGTTTGAATAAGATGTCAGTTCCAATCCTCACACAGTTATTAAAAGCTTGAAAAGGATCTCAGGAACACACAACTAGGAAGAATCTTCCTATTATATCCCAGGAGACAGGTTGCTGCCATAAAAAATGTTAGAATAGATAATCTAAGGATCCATATAATGATTCGTCTTTTCAGTGAATTTAACTTGAATCAACTGTGATTACTATCCTGATTTAAATTACAATTTCTAATAAGTATAGATTATTCTTGCTTACTTTTACTTTTGGGGGAAAAGCATTTGGGGACTATAATCAGAAATTTTTAATGCATGTTGGCCAGGTCACTTATCAATGGAAAAACTCACAGAAGAAAACATAATAGCTGCCTATATTCTCTTTACTTCCCTTTGAGGTTTCTCTCTTCTGAATGTATCAGTACATGTACTCAATGTACCAGTATTGTCCACTATTACTTGATATGATCTGCACTATGATACTATCAATACTATTAAACAGCTATGTAAATTAAATTATCCTCAGAATCACATCCTTAGCCATAACTTAAAAAGCATAAGTACATAGAAAAGGGTCTCAGTGGACCCGTCAGTAGTCCATAAGCATCATGTTCATTAGCAGAACTGAAGGGTGTAAATACTTGGAAGGAACAGACTCTGGCCTTAACTGCCCTGTGATTTATTTTTCTTTATTAAAGGGAAGATGAAACTCAACACTAATGAATAAGCTGTTTCAACTATTTATATAAGTCCAACATACAAATCAATAACTCTCTAAGAGAGGCATTAATTCTCTTGTTGTTACCTGAATAGCATACTATAACACACTATTCTTATAAACAGAATGGCACTGCTGCAAAGTATTCCACTGAATAATTCACCAAACATATGAAACAGAATATAGGGAAATTGAAAATTCTTGACTAATAAGACTACGGGCATCTTTATTTGATTGTGAATTATTCTGATTCAGTAAGAGATTCCAGTCTTCCTCTGTGCTCTCCCAGAAGACTGGAATCTGTTACCTGAATCAAGGTAATGCATCAGTTCTGATGCAAAGATCAAGTTTTCCACTTCATCCCATTTAATCTGGGACTCAATCAAGTTATTCTTTAACATGGGATCCCATTAGCACTAGACCAGAGAGATTAGCTGGGAAGAAACTGATAAGTTTTTTCATCTAGTTTTCATTAACTTTATTCCAGGAGACTCTGCCAACTTAATGAAAAGAGTGAGCTAATGCAGAGAAAGCAGCACAAGAAATATGAAAGGCCAGGTTCCTGTGGAAGAAGGCATTTTAAAATTTTGCTCCACAAATTTCTTCCGCTGACCACAGCAGTTGCTGGGAGGTGTATATTGTACAATCAGAAATGAGTCAGCGAATCACAGTTACTCACATATTATTATTTTTTAAAAAGCCAAACAAATAAAAAACTCAGTATGGTGTATCACAGATACAAGACTCAGCTCCCAAGACTGGTTCCTCAGACTCATTCAGGCCATTCAATTACAGGTTATTTACAACAGATTTTTATTCTACAAAAATGAAACAAAGGGGGGAAAAAGGCAAATGAGGAACCTTTATGTCAAACCAAGCACAAGGTTTGATATTTTGTAAATCACTGTGCAAAATAGCCCCAATGCAACAGATGCTTGAGATTGGTAAATGGTGCTCAGCAAGTACGCTTTCAAACAGAAGAGAAAAAGGAACATGGGCACAAATTGGGAGAAGGAGAAAGCACCAAATGTGAAACAGAACATATCCTAAAGGGAAAGAGGACAGAAGACTAGAAAATATGTCCATCTGGCTGATTTACGGTAATACATTTTACATCGATCACTTAAAGCATCTTAAGCATATTTACTTGAAAATGTAAGTCTTGTTTAACTTGCATCTGAGTAAGCATAAGATCAGGATGCAAGGAAGAGCCTCCAAGTGGTTACCTGGAGAAGCAGATTGTTAGAAGTATTTTTGTATTAGTGATTTATGAATTTGGGTTTAGTCCCCTACATCTTTACTTTTAAGACAGTGACTGTACATTTATTTTGCAGTACTGCTTCAGTTAAAAGTGGATTTAGTACAAGAGAACTCACAAATTGAAAGAGGCAGTTCCTATTATAATTCTAGTGATACAAGTCAGCATTTGCATCATGGGTAGTTGTCCTTTTTTTAAAAAAAAAGTCAGTGACATTCTTTCAAGTTATTGCTTTTTGGGGAAAGGGATTAAATAGGACTTCAAGCTTTAAAGTAGCTCTAAATATAACTGACAAGAACCACCACTAGGATTCTAAATGACCCTACTAGTGGGACTGCTGAGATTCTCTGCTACTACTGACATCACCCAAGTGCTAAAGAAGAAAGAGGTCTGAAATAGAAACTTGAACAAATATGAGGTCTAGAAAGATCCACCTGCCTAACACTTCCATTTCCAACTAATCAGATTGGAGAAAAACTGCATAGCCTTTGTAGGAATTTGGAGGTTCTGGAGAATGCTACACTAATACAGAAGCACTAGAAAAACTTGCATTGCCTATTAAATGACTGAACTGATGACAGTGTAAGATGTTTTGCTTCTCTTGTACATTAGCTAAGAATTCTTGGAGGCTTGTTTTTTTATTTTCAGCTCCTAAAGCCAATTAAACACTGGACAGTCCTTAAGAGGAATAAAAATATTATCCCCCTAGTGGAGTGGAGGACCTCAGGTCTTACATTTTACAGGCACTCTCATGAAAAAGGTGTCCAAGTTTGGAGGTTTTGGAAAGTTGTAATTACGTCTTTCCCAATAAAAATCAACAACATACATAAAAATCGACAAATCAACATTTGCATAAATTTGGCTGGAAAGGAAAATGAAGGAAGACAAAATGTGCAAACACATAATATCTTGACCCTGTCACCAGCAAGTTATATGGATTTTGAGTGAGGAGGCTTCTCTGAGATAGAATATTCACATTCACATTAGCTGCACAGAAGGACAGTGCAGTTTAAAATCATTGGCAAAAAATGTTACATATATAGCACCTATGCTGTTGCAGAAGATTAAATCAGGACATTAAAGATTCAGTCTAGTTAGATTTTCATTTTCTATGCAACAGTTTTCTTTAAACCAGTCTGGGTGCACCTTTTGTCATAGCCTAAATCTACTATGTCATCCATTGGGTTCCAAAGCAAATTAATGTCTCCAAAGCATCTGTTACATAAAACAAAATATGTACATATGTATAGTTATACAAAGATAAATGAGCACCTTGGATTTGCATGAAATAATCAGTCATAAACTCCAACTATGATGTTAGGTGACCCACCCATTAAAAACAATGATTACAGAAGTATTTGAATAATAGAGTTGCTATGCAGTTGGCTACCAATGGAAATTAAGGGGAAATACATTACACCACACTTTTCTAACAACCAAATGGCCTCTTTGATTTTTCGGATTCCTTAATACAGTTTTTAGATAGCATTATTATGAATTATTTAGCTGACATGACTGGCAATTACCATCACCTAAAGTTCTACTTCAGGAAATAGTTTACTGTCGTTACTGATAGTTGGGTGGTGAGAAATTCTGTAGTTTCATCTGCAATCAGTCAGTTAGGAAGCACTAGCATTTTCACAATGGATAGCTAGCTTGGAACTGTAATTGGTTAGAGAGCCTTGTTTGTTTAAAAAAATTAAATTGAATATTTGAATCAGCAATTATTTTGAATCAGTATCACTGTATCTTGATTTGCATTTTACCAATTGATTAAATGAAGATCCACATGTACAAATGTTTTTTTTTCTTATTTGTCATGTGCCTCATATCTTTAAATTCATTTAAAGACTTGCAGTACTGGCATGCGGGTATTTAATTGTATTCAGCAAAACTGGAATCTGAAGGAAATGTTGGAAATACAGAAAAAATATATAAATATTATATGAATTGTATAATATTTATATTATAAAATATTAATGAAGAGATGTATCTACCATCCAAAATGGAAATGACATGGGGAGAGGGACTGTTTTCCATTCATGTTTGAAAACATTTCCTATAAATTGCTCTTAGCCACCAAATTCATCTCAGGCTGATCATCTGGATGGACAGCCAAGACAATGGAGAGAACCTGCTGGATCTGAGTCCTTAATCTAGAACTTTAGTTTCCTTTCTCCTTTTTCGTTTTGGTTACTATTTTAGAGGACCAGCTCTGTTGAAAAACCACCCAGACAAATGTCTCCTAATCCTTTGAAAGCAAGGTCAAACCTTTTAGTTATGCTATTTCGGGCCAGCTCTGAGTTGAATAAGATGTTTATCTTTTACTGTCTTGTCTTAAAGGTCTAAAGTAATACTCTTTACTTTAGCTTCAAAAGTGTCAACATTTAATTTGCTTGCATTTCTTTATTGCCTTCTTTCCCCAGTCAGATATACTCTACATATGCTAGAACACAACTTTCATTGGCAAATCATTGACATATGATGTCCCAAAGTTATGGTCCAAATATCTCAAGGACACGAAGTTAGGTAAGGCTGTTCAGTTTGTAAACATTGCTCTTGGCAGACAAGTAAATTCAGTGAGATGAAGTAAAATTCCTTTGGGTGGCATTGCTTATTCCAGCAAAAGGAGTGAGTAAGCAACAGAGGAATTCCATTTATTAACAGAAAGCTTTGCTTTGAGAAGAAGAACTAGTTCTTGGCTAGGACTTATATTATCCAATATAAGGTAGTTGAGTAAGCATGCAGGGATAGGGGTGTGATTTTGGTCATTAGGTTTGGTGTTTCAGAAGGAAAGGCAGCTGCTAGATTAATTAGTCAGTCAATCATCTAAGCAGTTCCAAGGAACATAATCAATAGGCATTGGATGTTACCCTTCCTTCCTTCTTGGGCTCTTTGTGCTGATCTATAAACTATTCCACTATTTGGTCTAGCCTGTGTTTAAAACATTACCCCAGCCTTCTTTTAATAGTCAGAAAAGAGTAAAATCTGTTAATCCATGGCTAGATTCTCCTCCCTTGAAATGGTAATATTAAGGCAGAGTTTCAGGGACATGAGCAACTTCACAGCCCAGTGAAGTTGCATTTTTGCTCAGATAATCACAATTTCAAAGCAGCACAACTTCATATGAAAGCACAAGAGCTTTTCCACATAAAGAAGACTGATTAATCTGAACTATCAGCCCTTCTGACATTATAGTATACCACTCCCTAGTGGCTAAGCAGTCCCCTTTACTCTCCTTCTGCATAGGGATAGGTTCTGGTTCATAATTGATAACTTCCTTGGTTTCTAACCTATCCCATCCCACTTTATTCAGGTAAAGAGAGTGATAGATTCATACTGCGAACAGACTGTCACAAAGAGGGATTCATCTGTCACTGCTGCCATAAAGGTTGATAGTTCTAGGCAGTTTCATCTTACAAAATACATTCTGCTTGAAGGAAATAGGAGGCATGGAGACCTTAAAAAACCCCTGAGACAATATCATATTTGTGAGAGGAATAACTATTGTCTCCTGAAAATCATTGTAACTTCTTATTACAGCCTTCTTCCACTAGTGCCATGCAGATGTGATGAATTATAACTCTCAAGTCAGGCAATTTGTAAAGAATCTTGGAGACAAGGGTGGAAAGTCTGCACTATTATCTAACTTTGTTGATCAAGATTGCTTTGTATCCGATGTTGTTTACAGGTAAAACCTTGGTTCAATAGATGGAGGGTTAAAAAAAAATATTTCATTGATAATAAAATAGAGAAAATTGTGAATGAAAAGGCTCTACAAAAGCACAGGAAGCCAAGAAAACATTAATTTTGTACTTCTTACACATTATATCAATCATTTCATTTCATACCCTTGGCTCAGGGAAAGCAGTGCAAAATTCTATCCTTGCATTATCAAAATTATGATACTAATTTTACCCAGATGGTCAGTATTCTTGGCAAGCATTCATTAGTTCAAAAATGCAAATCTTTCTATCTTACATGTTTGCCAAGTTAAGGAAAAGTTAAAGCAGTTTCAGAAATGGAGGTGGGCTATGCATACATAGGCAGGTTGTCGTCTTCTTCCTTCTTATTGGCATGTGACCAACCTGGAGCGTGTACAACGATCACTACCTGTACTTACATCCTATAAAGTATTTTTTTTCCTCCAAATTGGGCCCCTAACCATGCCCAAGAAGGGACAAATTGTTCAAAATGAAATGTGGGGGGAGGGAACTAGAGGAACAACCCATGTTCTAAAGTAGCCCAGTGAAAACAAGGCATCTCAATGGCCACAGAAGAATGGGATAAGGTGAAGAATGAATTATCTATCTATAAAATGGTTTGGATGGCTATTTGGTTCAATAAATAAAAATGAATTCTCCACTGCAACTTTTTAAGTGTAACCTGAATTGTTATATTACACTTACAAAAGAAGAAAATAAGCCAGCACTGATTTCACAAGGTTCCTTTATGGCAAAGTCATGGACAAAAAAGACACTATATACATTCTATAGAGGGACTAGGTAAGTGCAAAATGTAGCATATGAAGCTGGAAAATATTTTTACTCACTTCCTAAAATCACATTTTTAAAAAAGAGAAAATACTGAAAATCTGGGCAATATCACCTGAATGCTCAGAACTATGTAAGACCAAAGGTATTTGGCACAATGTATCTATCTACAGGCCTTGTGAATGATTTGCCAATATAAACCCAATAGGTTCCACCACAAGGGAAACCAAGAATCAGCGATAGGAGCCATGAGAGGATGAACGATAAACCCAGGGGCGTCGGCAGTGGGGAGGGGGAGGAGATGACTAAACAAGCATCACACCATCGTGTCTGTTTTGTAAATATGTTTCAAGGCCTCATGCACGAACAAAAGAGATACAATCACAATGACACAATGCCCATTTAGTCACTTTGACAGAAACACTGCTGCAGATGCCTCTGGGTTAGTATGTTCTATTATTAAAATATTAGCCCATGGAAGAAGGAAAAATGTGTAAAAACTGGGGTTACATTTTAAGAAATGTGACACTTTTTAGTTGTCTCCTCTCACAGGCTCTGCTGGAATAAGAACTAAACAGATGTAGTGCTTAGATTTTTTAAAAGAAACAGTCTGCTGTGGATTGTTTGGGATCCATGTCATCAATGAGGCACTCTGCCATGAGATCAAAGTGAGGCTGAATTGCCTCAGGAAATCATCTTGCTCTGATGTCAAAGAGTTTGGCATGCAGAGAAGATCTACCCAGTACAGTAAAACAGCCATAATGCTGTTCAGAGATGGGGATTTGTGTTATTCTGTGGTTTTGCATTGGAAGGATGCTTTACTCAAGCTTTCAGTAAGGTATCTCTTCATATGTCTGCATGGCACTACTGAAAAAGCAGAGATGTGCATTATGGAGAACCTAATCATTATGTCATCCTACCACAGAAGCTAAAATTCAGACTTGTATCTTTTATTTCATCAAAGCTAAACGTTACAAAAACTTATGGCTGTGCACTGACTCCTTCTATAATCTTTTTTTTTTACTAGAAGTTGGCAAGCGTGCCTCCAAAAATATCAGTAGGACATTTACAGAACATTAGAAGTCGAGGGCTGGTCTGACATCTATAATTTCAATTTTGAATGTAAAACACACATCAATAGAAACTATACTGACATTTTCTTGAGACAAATTCTGTAATCATATGATTTATTTAGCTAGTCTAAATAGTTCTTTAAGTATATTATAATCCTGGTTGGGGGGGGGTCACTTCATATGGGAGTGCTCTTCAGTTGCCCCAAACCTAATGCTTGATAGAGATCAATGGTCCAGATTGATTGGAATTTCAATCAAAGTCATCTAGTTAGGGGAATACTTGTGTATTGGTGGCTATTTGTTTGGCAAATCATATAAATGACATCCAAGGCTAAATGCTTAAATGTTTATATTCAGCCTTGGTTAAACTGTTAACTTTCCAGATGTATTTTTCCCCCAAGTTTTGTAATCCTCAGCCAGCAGGACTGTGCTGGTTGGAGATTAGTGGAGTTGAGTTCCAGCACATCTGAATGGCAACAGACTCAAGAAAGCTCCTACAAAAAGGATCTATTACCCTGTGTCCCCAAAATAAAGTGAGAGAAAATGAATGGAAGAAAAGAGATTTGCAAGCACATTGATAAGCAGTACAAAACTGGGGGGAAATGACGATGTTGCTGTCCATTAAATGATGCACTACAACGATCCATTCTCCCTTTGATCACAGTTTTCTGACCTCTTGTGCTTTTCAGAAAGAAATGATATGGAATGGCACAAGAAGGGGAGCCCACATGCAAATTGTGCATAGGTTGTGCTGCTGATTCAATTCTCTGTGCATCTGATGCAAGCTGCAAGGATCCAGGAAGTGGATTTAAGTTACTGGAAGTCATCCAGTCAGCACCAATTTCAGTTGGAGGGACTGTGGGAATGAAATTCACAGAAAAGTAAAACAAGAAAAAGGTAAACTGAAACTGGAAAAAAACCCTTATGAACTCAGGAGGCTCCTTCCTGTGGAACCAAAGGCAGATGACTAAATAGAATGTAACTCCTAGAACCAAAGAGCAAATGGAATGGCCCAGATTAACCAAATAAAATAAAGTGGAGGAGAAAAAAGTTTATTGGGAGTTTGAAAGTAAAAAAAGACTTTCATGCAGATTAAATAAGGAGGGTACAAAGACGAGAGTTAACAGTCTTACTAGGTCTTTGCCTATGTTGGTTGTGGCAGGAAAGTCGAAGGGCAGCAACTGCAGGAATTGACTCCAAGAGCAGCAATGACGCTTCCAACTCTCATGCTTTCTGGGGTTTTCTTTTCTTTATTATTTTATAAAAAGATCCGCATTTTAGGGTTCCACAAACTTGGCTATTGCCCTGCCTGTTAGCACTGCCCTGCAGAAATACAGCAGCCAGCTCTGTGTGGCTATCTCCAGTTTCTTGCCTTATACAAGAACATTTTTGTTGGGAACACTGGATGTGAGGGATTTCTTGATGCTCCCCAATCATACTGTAAAACCAGGAGTTTATGACAGAGGCAGAAAGCCCAAGAATAAAACCCACCATTCTCTTACCACCAGAGTTATTGGAGGTGGAGGGAGAACAGTGTCTTGCAAAGGAGGCCCAACTGTCTCCTGTTTCACTGTTCACCTGCACAGATCCCAAGGGAAGTGATGGGCACCTGCTTGCCACTCTGTGGTGTTCATTCCAGACTGCAGGTTCCAGAGAAAAAAGAAAGAAGACCTAGGAGCGAAGACAACCAAGATTGGCTCATTCGTCTCCATTCTATCACAATCCAGTTATTTTTAGAGTGCAGACTGCACATTGGGGTCCAAGGTTTCTCGGTCAGGAGACTCAATGTAGTTGGCTGCTTCCTGAAGTTTCAGCAACATTGCCATCTGTATAGGTAGGATGAGAGACAAGTAATGATTAAATACACCAACTTTTCTCAGCTTGATGCCATCCCATGTATTGAGGCTCCCCTTCTTTTCCACAGTGGCTGAGAATTATGGGAGGCAGTGTTACAATGCACCTGGAAAGCAGCGGAAGTAAGGCAGGTTTGGTGCAGATATAACTCACTAGATGTACTTCATATTGAAAACTATTTACTGCAACGAGTATATAGGGTACAGAGAGTCTCACAGAGAGATTAAGGAATAACTGATTATTTCAAATCATTTGTGCTTTAGATAAGAGGGGAGCTAAGAGAACAGAAAATATGTACAGTTCTACAAAGAGAAAGTCAAGGGCAATTTACACACAGGTATTTGCATAATGAAAGTTTACCTTTCATGATCTGCCAGCCTTATTTACAATTATACTATGTATCTTATTTTTATTCAGGTAAGAATACATATTATGAGACTGAATCTGAAAGGGATGTGGGAAGGGGATAACTCAGCTTTGCAACTCCATTAATATTTTTATGGGATTAAGATAAGAGCAAATGTGGTTAGTGAAGACAGGCTAACTAAAACAGAAGAAACAGATTGTCTGTTCCAAGTTCCCGAATTTGCGGAGATTCGGACCCTCACCTCTCTCCACGCCTTCCGGAAAGCCGTCAAAACCTGGCTGTGCCGGCAGGCCTGGGGTTGATGAGTTCCCCTCCCCTCTCGACTTGTATGGTTGTATGATTCTTGTTTATTTTAATCACGTGTATTGTGTTTTACATTCCCTTTTTCCCTCTTTGAGTTGTTCGCTGCCCTGAATCCCTCCCGGAGAAGGGCGGCATACAAATAAACTAAACTAAATCTAATTTGAGGCTCCCTCTAGTATCACTCATCCATCATAATTTTTGTACAAGTACTACTCCATCATGATATTACATTTTATATTCTTCTTTACAGGAGCCATTACTTCCAGGACCACTGTCCCACAATCACTTGCCAGCATCAATTTCTGCTGTCTCAACAGAGGAATATATGTGATAGTGTGTGCTTCTGTCCTATATCACCCATAACCCATCAATGATTATACATAACTGTACATAACTAGTTCATGTAGTTTCCTCAGTTGGTATGTAGTGCTCTTTCTTTGACTAATACATCTTTGCCACCTTGTGGCCGTATCATGATAATGCCACAGCAGAATCAGTTAGACTTTCTTTCTTGTGAAGGTCATTATGCTTTCTGAAGAGGTCAACAATGCAGTCTTTATTACATGGCAGAGGAGAAGAGAGATTTGTCTTCTCCATGTTACTTTGTGCACTCAGTCCTTTGCCCTACTGCAATGTCAGATATAAGACACGAGGGGAGGGAGAAACTGGGATTCTAAAAGAGAGAGGGACATAATGGAGAAACAGCCACTCTGACAACATTACAATTGCCTCCAGTCATAGAGCAATTAAGCTAACAAATTAACAAGGGCTGTCAATTTTTGACAAAATGAAAATTGATGAGGAGAAATTAATTTTTCTATTCCTATAAGCTATGGTTTTTGAAAAAAAAAATCTTTCCATTAGTGACAAGAACTGGGATACTCATTCAGGAACATAATTCTGAGTGAATGAAGGCGAATATACATGTTCCAGGATAGTGTTACAGTTATCCTATCTGGGTCGATCACTGGGATCAGAGGTTTTGTCTTCTGAGCTTTTGGTCTTATGCTGGAGCTCATCTTCATGGAACCTCTCTTTCTCTTTCTGGTTGCGGTGACCGACCCAGGTTGGATGACTCTGAGTTCTTCAATTTAATTCTCAGTAGCAACTATTCTCATTTGCAAGCTGAAAACATACCAAGGGATCTGATTCCAGAGAATTGGGTGTAGAATCCTTGCCACTCCGTTCCTCTGGAGGAGACACTATGCTGTGGGGCCCCACACTGGGTGGGGGAAGATGGTATAATTTTGATTGGTCTTGCTGGGCTGATGGCCAAGGCAACGTATCTCTCACCCACTCCACAGGGTCCTCCCAAGCAGCTTTCTGCCCATGCACCTGCAAGACAAAATGGCGAGAAAGAATACTGACACTTGCTAGGGGCAAGTGACATACACACACACACCTAGTCTTCCAGTTCCTTCACTGTGGAACAGAGTAGAGCTTAGAACATGTTCAAGGAAATAGAGGACAGGATTGGAAGGAACAGCTTTTCTGCAGGGTTTTATGAGTAATTCAGAGTAAAAGGAAATAGCAACCTGCAGTTGAGGAACATATGTGCATATGCAGGCTTTAGCCACATCACTAGTTATTTTATATGAAATGAGGACCCATGGAAAATTACCTTGATCCCATCCTTTGCTCCTTCCTGGAGATAGGGAATAATTGAATTGTTCCAGAGATCAATGAACCAGGTACGGAAATCTTCAATACCAATTGGGCATGACAGGAAGAAACAAGGACCTGGAAAACAGTAAAGGGAAGAAGGTAAACTGATAGCCAGTGGGGGAATATCAGCCCTATTTAACATTTGGTCTTAAGAGAATTATTCCATTATGATAGTTGCTATGGCTAAAAGGAATCAATATGGAATATATTTACTCCTTTAAACAGACATTAATTTCTAGTTCCTATGATCCACAGTGAGAAGCTATTTGGTTTATAGGATTTGCTATTAAGTTCTAGGATGTAATTACAGACATTTGGGCTCCTTGAATATCTCAGAGAAGCCTATAGTTAAATGGACAAGCTTACTCCCTAAAACTTGATAAATTCCAACCCCACAAAGATATCTTCAACAATAATACAGACAATAAAAATAATGAATGTGTCTGTCAAAAATAGACTAATTAAGAAAAATAAAGATTATGTAAAATAATATTCTAATAAATAAAGCAGAATAACCTAGAAAACTAGATTAGAGAACTAGAGTGATTCTAAGCATATTTATTTTGCTTTTCCCTCACTATGAATTAACTGCAGGGGACTCAATGAGAGGCCGAAGCTTCCATGTGGTGTTTTAACCTTTCTTTTATTAGTCTGAAATAAGATGCAATGTGAAGGTGAGATTCATTTCAGCTTCCTGGATAATAAGCTTAGGCTTACCAATGAGAAAGTCAGAAGTGCTATGCTTCTCTAAGAAGGTATGGAGGTGATACCAGAGCTTTGGCACCCAGTCCAACACACGTAGCAGTTCATCCCGGTTGGCATTGACATCACTGTCAGACTCAAGCAACTTCCGACGTAAATAGCGCACCAGGAAGCCATTAGCTGGCTCCACGTTATTGGAGAAAGTCAGCATCCTACAGAATAATAATATGATATGTTGGTCATGACAAAAACATGAAAGTACTCAACCCAAGCAAATTATCCTCTTCCATTGTCTTTTCTAGACTAAAACATTGAGTAAAAGAAAGAACTTTACGTCCTCCTCATCCCAGAAAACAATCTGCATAAAGTGCAAACTCCCCAAATATAAATCTTTGAACTTGACCATATATAAGAGACATTCTAGGTAGACATTGCAGTAGTAATTACCTGAAACTGAGATGGAGGCCATGGTTTGGAGTCATTTTAACATGCTGGTTAGTTGTTCCAATTATGTAAGGGCTGATGGGGAAGAGAAAGAAAATTGCACATAGTGTATTTGGATTCTGGATGGGGAAAATATTTTGCTTATTTACAGGACTTATATGGCTGCCTATCTGACATAATGACTCTAAGTGGCTCATAACATGATCAGAGCTTCTTTGTTCTGACCTTCCACTACTTTCAATAGAATTGTGGAAGGGAGGGGAGGTTTTTTGTTTGTTTGCTTGCTTTTATTTTTGCGCCTTCCAGTCAATTTGGACTCCTGGAGACTGAAATGCTGAAGATAAAATAGTGTGGCCACCTTTTTCTGATAGTTGCACACTATGGTATTTTATTGCACTGCTTTGGGGCACAATAAAACACACTCACAGTTATTTTGATTACAGTATTAGGTGTTTGAGACATTAGATGATCTATCAGTCAAACCACAACTTGCTCTATGACCCTGAAGAAGGAAGTTATAACCCTTCCTGCCTATGCCAGGTTGGTCATTCAAACTAAGGATGAGAAAGTTCTCTTGTTTAATGCCATTCATGTGTTATGCCTGAAATAATGATGCAACCATGTCTTTCACAAAACGCTATCATTATTAGGTACAGGATAGGCAGAAAAAAAATAACAATTTAGCATAATCTGTAAATTCTTGCGATATATGTAGTTTACAGGGCAGGATCTTTATTCTGGTATTTGTAAGGTCAATATCAATACATATCTTGGTTTCTCACCATTTGTGATATTTGCAGGTAAGTGCTCCATTGACAAGCTCACTGATGGAGCCAGGCTCACTGAGATCATCTAAGAGAATAACCAATGGAACATCAATCCCTGTTTCCCGATCAATCTGATTGGCTAGATTGGAGAGGTAAAGTTGTAAGTCCTGGTGCAAACAATGAAAGTAAGATGTTATTGTATCAATAGAGAGAGAATATTCAGAAACATCACAAGACAGAAACACAGGGATATCAGGAAAATTCATTGGCTAGTGGGCTTATGGATGAGAACCATTAGTTCAGTGATGGAAAACTTTTTTGGCAACGAGTGCCCACACCGGAATTTGCATATGACAGTCTGTCAGAGCACCGGAAACCATGACCAGATGGTTGGTGCGCATGTGCATGCTGGCTAGCTTGCCTTTGGGTTTCCAGCACTCTGGCACCAGCTAGCCGGTGCGAAACCAGAAGAGCAGCTGGCGACAATGAGCATGCCCACAGAGAGGTTCGCCATCATGGCACTAGTTAGAACTTAACATAATTATGCATAATGATTCTAATTATGTTAATAGAACACTGACAGAGGGCTGGAAGAATAGAGTCATGAAAATTAGGACTTCAATATTATATCTACCTACAAAGTTTCATTGAAATTAAATTTAGAATTACAGTGAAAAATGAATGATTTCATAAGGGATAAATTCTCCCAACTAAACTAACAGAAGAGCCTATGACTAAGATCATGTAAAGATTTGAGTTAAGATCCAGAGATACTGTCCTTGTGACTATTCAGAAATGAAACAATTAAAAAGTTTCCTGCCTTGCATGATTGCTGGTGCATGTTGAAAGTATTAACGATGCCTTCAGTAACCTCGCGGCCAGAACGTTCCACCAGGTATTCAGCCAGGCGATTGGTCAGATAGGTCTTGCCAGTTCCACTTGGTCCAGAGAGAATAAGGCGCCGGTGCTTGAGTAGAAGGCTTATGTAGTGCTGCATCATTGGTTTGGGGATAAGAGTCTCAAAAACCAGGCTGTCCACACATTTTTCTTTCAAACCTACGCCCAAGAATATTACAAGAAACCTTCATAACATCACAGAGTAGCCTCAGTTTTGCATTACAATGGTTTTTCATGTACCAGATCGGTTTCCTTCTTTTTTGTAGCAATTCTCAATTGTTTAGAATTTCTTCCTAATTTCTTCGCAGTTAGTCAGAAATATGCATATTGTAAAAGCCTCATGATTATCAGACATCATTACTCCTACTTTAAAAGCCACTTAATAAACACATTTTTGAATCAAATTGACAAGTCTGTCTGAAAAGGACTTATGAGAAAGGCATTCAAGATAACCTAGTATTAATTATTCAGACTCCCCCAATTTGAGAAATGTCAGATTAAATAATAATCTGAAGGGATCTTGAAGCCAAGATTTATTTTCATCTAATAGCAGCAAGAATGCTATACTAACTAATGCTATACATAAACAAGTACAATTCTTTGCATATAATTAGTACAGCATGGTGCTACAGTGTTACAGTCATCCTCATCACCTAATTCTGGACTTAGAGGTGCTTTCCAGAGCTTTTTTCCTTTCTACCAGTCATTTGTAAATAAACAGTTAAGAACCAATGGGAAAAAAGCAGGACCTTTCAAAGTCACAGCAATGCTGGTCACACCCCGGCGGGAAGGAGGTAGTTCTGGCGGTTCCATATCCAAGATTCTTTTAACATGGTTGATGCTGTAGCCATAGACAGACTCAGTGCTGAGTCCCAGAGTCAGAGCAGGATCCATCTTGGTGACATAATCCTAAATGAAGGATAGAAAGTTTTCCAATTAGTGAGGCTCTCAAATTTAATGCTACACTTATTCGTTGATCCACTGTACCCTCTCCCTGGTTTTTCAGTTTTCCATGTCAGACACTCAACATTCTGTGGCCACTGAGCATGCTCAGCTTACACTGGGTTATTTTAAGAATACATGTTGCTGTTCTTCTCTTCTCTCTCTTCTCTCCTCCTTTCATTTCTTTTGTTTTTGCATTTTCTATAACTGATATCTTCCTTCCTTTTGTAGTTGACTTTTTAAATCCACATTAAATTTAAGTATTTATCTAAATTTTTCATATGGATAAATATTCCATGAATACAGTATGTGCAATAACTTCAATTGCAATGGTTAATAGCAGAGGTGAACTCCCATCCTTAGACTGATGTGATTAAAGATGCATAGCTAAAAAAAAACCCCTCCACTATTTGCATGTATACACTGTGTTATTCATATTATATATGGAAATATCAAAAGTTAATTAACTTTCTTATACAAGTCTGGCCATATAATGGTCAAGGAAGTGTGTGCGTGTGTGTGTGCGTGTGTGTTTAGAGAGAGAGGGGGAGGTTTGAGGGTATATTGCTTATCTTTATTGGGTCCATTTTATCTTTTTCTCTCTGCCATTTCTCTCTGCCTCATTCCTCTGCTATTCTGAGATTCTTTTTAACTTAGTATGAAATATGGCTAGCAGGAAAGGTAGCATTTAAAGTTCTGTCCTTAAAGCCCAGGAGGAGCAAATAATATAAGTCTGAACTATGAATGAATCCAAATTTTGAATCCAAAATTTAGACCTCTAGATATACGAAATAAAGTTTTTGAAGATGAAAATGTACCAAAAAAAGTTGTCGTTAATTAGCAGCTTACCTTGAAAACCTGACAGACAGCTTCATCCAG